AAGACGATCGAGCATGTTAATGTGAGACCTCCAATAAAAATGTACCATATGTTGGTTTCATCAACACATAATATAGTATTATGATGTGAGCAAGGCAAGCGGAAGGATATTTCTGGGACAGTGTCGTTTCCGCCTATTCTTCTTCATCGAAGGGGTATTTTACGTATATACACTGCTAATTCGTTCACGGGACCTCGGTTTTGCGTCCCACGGGCATCAGCCTGAAATGAAAAACAAGTAGGAACCAGACTTGAAAACACCAAAAATATTTTTGCCCCACGCCATAATTCGAGAGAGAGAGAGAGAGAGAGAGAGGTTCAATTTTATTTCAACAATTCGCTTGTGCGTAGGGGTCTTTAGCAGTGGGAGGACCCGAAGAAAGCCCACGAGGTTGGACAGGCGACCCTACTCCTTGTCACGTACAAGCGGAGAATCGAAACCACGCTACTTGACTCAATAACAGACCTTATGATCAAACGCGCACGTGTTAACCATTCGGCCACCCGACCCGACGTCGTTATTCGAAGCCAGGACATTTTGACAAATAGAATGCAGTTTATCAATAGTTTGAGGAGGACAATTGTATTTTCGATGAAATGTGAATTTTATAGGCGTAGGAAAAGTCTGTACTAATGCAATGCAAGTCTATATTTATTGGATTGTGAATAAATACATAACGTGCAATTATTTCGATAACGCATCGAAAACCTTTCCCAATCACCAGCAATAATTATAAGGCAGAATTTTCATTACTTGTCCAAAAGTCAGGAAAGGTTGGCCGTAATCTTAGACGCAGGTTTTCAGAGAATAATGTAAACTAATTATTTTGTGCTGTAACAACAGATATAACTCATGTTCTTATTTATATTAAACATATTTTGGTAATATGAGTATTGTTGAAGTTTAACATGGGCGCACGTAATCATAATTTGTAACAACGAAAGGCGATATATACTGCGTTCCTTGTGTGTCAAGTTATCAGTGTACTTAATTCAACTCGGTTACACTGTAAAAAAATTATGACGTTTGCTAAAATGTGTGAATGAAATAATTGAGAAATGGCGGTTTAGCGTCCTGTTGAAAAAAAGCAGGTGATTTCGGGACTTGAATGGATTAGGTGTTTATCGTCTCGTCAACACAATACGTCGGTATTATACTAAGACTAACATTACAATATCTAATCTATCCTTGAGTGCATGTCAGTAGTCAGATTGCTGGCTTGGGAGGGGCCGTGAACTTTTGGGAGAGAGCGCGGGCATGGAAAGGGGTCCGGGGGTCCTTTTCTTGGAAATTTTCGAAAATTGGACGGCCACAAACGCGTTTTCAAACCCACCCAGGAAATCGTTCTTTAGCGAACTCTGAATAATGAACACAGTGACAAGACAGGAGCCCAGGACAGTGGGTCATTGGGCAAGTCCCCAAATCAATACCCTAAATGCTGATCCCTGACTGATGTCTATTACAAATAGTAGGTATTTGTTATTTTAGAATTATGGTCGCCAACTTTTTTTTTCGGTTGTGGTTGACTGTAATGCGACGAAGGAGACCCGGTCTTGTCAGACCATACAGCAACTGATTAATAAATACAGGGACTCACGTTTCGACAACCCAATACTTCCATCATTTAGAGACTAACACATGGTGATTTTTAATGTATAATCACATTAAGATGCGGGGAAGGACACGACACAGTGGTGTTTCGTCAATATTTCTTTGATTTTTAAATGCCAAGGGGTATTTTACGCGCACGCCAATGTGTACACGGGTGGAACTCCTTTTGTCTAAACGATGATCGGGTCTGAAAAATTCCGATGGTCCCACACCAGGGACGTTCTAGTCGACAACCCACTGCCCTGAACCGATGACTTTTACTAATGACAATTTATGTCATTAAATGATACAAATCATCATTACTCTAAATTAATGTTTAATACGTATAGAAAGTGGTTAGAACTTAAATTATACAGCAGACAGTAATTAGCGGGTGTGTTATACTAGCTGTGAAACAGGTCACTGTTTTATATAGAGTGAAAGTAGGACTAATTACGATACTTAATTGCTACTGTCTGATAAAATGAAATAAAATGAAATGCGGTTTAACGTCCTACTGTTCCTGAACCAACCAAGCTAATGACAAAACCGAAAGAAATAAGCTTTATTTTATAAAATATAAGCCCTCCACCCTCTCAATTCGAAAAATTGTTATCAGGAATTTTATTTTATATTACTTCAAGTTTCTGTACCAATACCATGAAGTTCATATTGATTACAGTTACATTTTTGTTTGCGTCCACTCAGATCAATGAATTTCAATGTTTCTAGAGACTTACGTAATAGTATGTGGTTAATGGGAATACAGAAATGGACTAAAGTCACATACCGAAGAAATCTCTTGTGTAGGCCAAAAGTTCAGTAATGTGTAGCAGCGACAATGAAATGCTTGTCACCGAGGTGCACATCTTAAAAACCTTTTATGAATAATTCATTAAACGTGCATTTGACATTTTTGACATCTGATTTCCTCGGTTGTAATATCGGAGAGAGAGGATATTAATAATTGAGAGGTTTATAAACCAACATGGCGTCGACGTGTTTCTATTCCCACTTCTCAGGTTTAACGACTACTGACAGAGATGTGTCACGAAAATTATTAAAAATCGCCGACATATTGCAAATTAAAATTTATTTTATTCTTCATTTCAGTATCGTTTTTCAAAAACTCGCAACTTGATATACTAAAAACTAAGTTTAACTTGTTAGATGAAATTTCTAGTATTTTTACATCACGTCAACTTTGATTTGTAATTGTAGCGTGTTCGTCCACATCAATATGAAGTTAGCACTCCGACTTGTTTTTGTGATTTTATATTCTAGAAATGTATTTAGAATTCCCCTCGACACAAGTGTCTCTTCCTAATGAATTGTTACTTATTGCATCGAAAAACTACTTTAATTTCTTAGATAAAATTTATATTATTTTTACATCATGTCAGTTTTGATTTGTAATGTAATGATTACATGCATGCCACCATGAAGTTGGCACTACATGTTATCGTTGTGATTAAGCGTAATAGAACTGAATTTAGAATAAGACTCAAACAAAGTGACATCTACTGCATCTAATCTGACCCGAGATTAAAATTTATCCGGATTCAGAAATTAATGTTTATTTGTCCCCTGGAACTGTTTATTTAGAGTAATTATATATGTTTAGCTATCATGTAAGATAAACATTAATTAAACAGATTTCAAAGTGCTTTTCGTAACACCGGGTACTAAATAACAGTAATTAAACATACATTATGCAAGAGCTAAATCTGCCTATTTCAGGTCTTTCTTTAGGCCTGAAATGTTATCTAAATTATTAATTAGACATTAATCAACTTATCCAGACCATAATCGACTATCGATGTCAACGCTATCCTGTGATATTTACTTGATTAGGATCCCATCATGAAATAGATAATCGAAACTACCTTTTTTATCGTAAAGACTTTAGTAATGATGATCGAGGCTAGGCCCAAACTCCAATCGCTAAAATCTCGGTTCAGAGTGGATCAATTTGACTGAAATATTCAGCAAATTGCCTTTACATTATCTAGTTTTTAACTATTATAGCGAGAACTGTCAGCTCTTTATCAAATCTTCCATAATGTATCTTTAAATAAAATGAAATGAGAGTTAACGTTTTAGTTTTCTGCAACAACCACAATAATGAAGACGGTATATGCAATGATATGTGCCTTAATGCTAGGTTTCCGCACTGTCGGCGATTGTTACGATATGATTGTTCCCATTGAATCCAGGATGATCTGCTACGTGCAAATCCGTTCAGATACGTTTCGATACGATCAACACGATTGCCAAGACTGACCTCAGTATATGATAAGACCTGATAGGGTCACCACGATTACTCCACGATTAAAACCAAGATTTAAATCATAGCGCGAATCGTTATTGTGAGTGGGAACCTAGCATTAGGGAGATTTTGACGAGACTTCTTTCTTCACGACCTTCTCTTCTTTCTATTTTAAAGCTGCAAATAAATACAATTTCGAATGACACACTGTCAAAAATTTAAAAGTGGTTATAAATTATAGTCTTACATCAGGCGTTGATTTTATTTACATCTCCTGTTTGATGATCAAATACAAAACATGCAGTTAGTTAATCGCCTCTCTCTCATAATAAACTAAACCGCTGTATACTTAAGAGAATCTGTTTTGAGCTATGCTATATTTAAAATGTATCTTTTTCCACCCATCTCAGACATGTAGACTATCTAGTATATGGCATATTAAAAACAAAACTAATACTTTGATGTAAACATGAGTTAACACAGATCGGAAGCAACGATTGATAGTTAAAAGACCATAAAATTATCAGTATCGACAGTATCTGGATATTTCATAGGATAATTTGTATTCGAAGACAGGTCGCACTGTTAATTTCATCCACTACAGTCGCGAGTCACCATTTACCGACACAAAAAACTGTAGATCGTGGTTTTAAGAAAGGCAACGGAGATTGTGCTGTTTGTTTTTCTTTAACAATATAACTACACCCAAAGGATCGGCACAAATGTTCAACTACTTGTATTCCTATACAAAATTCCGTAAATTTAAAATTACATCAAAAAGCTCGTTAAGTGACTAACGCAACTGAACACAATTTTAATCTTTATAATCAAGTACGAACTAAAGAAGAAAAATAGAAATCAAACGGCTAAACTAGTGGTTAAAGGCAATACTTGTGGCACTGCTTTGACAACTGAGAAAGAACAAAAGAAGCATTCAAAGACTATCAGCAAATGTTTGCTACAGATCTGAATTAACGCCTAGTCGCTTATTCTGAAGCAGTCGGTTAACCTTTAGAACATCAAGAACGATGAGAAATTGTCAAAGTGCAGAGAGGAATGTATCTTGGAGTCTAATCTGGTGTTTTAAGATCTACGTGTGGAGCTTGGATATAGCCATCCACTAACCGCACTACTCTATATATCTATCAATGGGTTCATAGGAATGTTATAGCATTGATTATGGTTTGACTGGAAGCTACGCAAAGACAGACTGACAGCTTGTATTATGCCGGAATAAGAGGTTACACGCTGTTTCCCTTGTTTGTGGCGGAAAGCTCGACGTTATTTACAAAAACATCACGATCCGTGCTTTAGTCTTAACGCCGGTTTGACGTTCTGAGCTGACTGAATATATCCGAAGTGACATATTCGTGTTGTATGATGGGACCATGCCACCAAACTAGTTATTACGTATTGTGAAACATCGAAAGACGACCCGCGTGTTTTACCTAAACAAAAACACCAGACAAATGTCTCATTAACAATCTGTTCGCCTTTTATTCTTTTCACAGTTTTATTGTGGGAAGCTTCACGCTTTGTGATCTAAATCCCGATTTGATCGACGGAGATTAAGTTGTTATTCAAGGACAAATGATCAATCGACCCCTCATCCGTTAAAGTCAACTAATCATCAATTGGACTGGGAGGATTTAAGGTATGACTTTTGCTAGTTCGTATCATATTTGTTATTCATTATTTGTTCACAATTTTATTTAAATATTTAGAAATTTATATACTGTAGATTAACCAGATGATATGAGCGTAAAAATGGGTCAGGTCTTCTGAAATTGGAAATTTGATTAGCTCTCTCCTAGTTGGCCGGCCATTTCTGGTTTGTAGTCGTGGTTTCGAGCCCTAGGGGTGGGCGTATGTTTCGGGTACCTTCTCAGCTCAATGGGTGTACTCCGGTTTCCCCTCGCATAAAAGATCTCTGCGAATATAAGACCGCTTGCGGTCTGTCATATTACCCTCTGCGAAATTGGACGTTAAGCCCTACGTTCGAACGAAGAGCTCTCCCCTCAGAAAAACTACGCCTCCCCACTTCAATGCCTTAATTGTATCTGGTAGCATTAAAGGTTGCTTGTAGTCTTTGTTATTTGTCATAATAGTTGCAATTGTTGCACAGATTGGTTTTGGTTTTCGCTTTTCACATTTAAGTCTATGCCAAAAAAATATCCCGTCATTCTGCTGTTCTAAACACCATTTTCATTTCATGGTTACTCATTATTTTATTGTGAAAAAATTAATGCATTTTGTTACCAGGCTTTCGCATTGGTATTGATTATTCATTAAGCATTAACCATTTCTACTGGTGCACACACATTTCCGAGGATAACTTTAGATTGACATTTTGGATAAACGCTTCCACAACGATTTGTAAATCTTGACGTGTCAAATACCCCTTATATGTTAACATTTTATATATAACATCTATATTTCAAACTTCATCAAAATATGTATAAATCAAAAATGTGATGTTGAATTTATTTTTACGAAATGGAACTAGGGTGAATTCTTTTAATTCAGTTTTTTCTGGAACCAGCCACTTTGACACACTAACATTAATCGTGCAGGTTTATTTTCGCGTAATATCTTATATGAACAACAATTTCTGGACTTCCGTGGATTAAATATCTTCCACTAGGTGAACAGAGTACACATTTAATTGTGGTGCTTGGGAAAGCGTTAGATTATTCTTTCGAAACATCGAGTGCCATTCAAAGTGTTGCTGATGGTCGTTCTCTTTGATCTTAGGTTATAGGTGGTGATGTGTGTGTGTGTGCTTGGAGGAGAGGGGGGGGGGCATAGATAACAAAATCTGCTATACCCGAGAAAGCTACGGTGACCTAGTGAAGAAATCACTGGTTCACAAGCTAGGGGATCCCGGGATCAGTCGCGGGCCCCTCTTCTCATGGGTGCAGGACATAGGGGCGAAGAACGAAAATCCCGTGAACACGTGTGTGTCCACGTTAATGTACACTTGACTAGAATTTCACAAAGAGTTGACAGAAAGGTATCTGTCAAGGCATAGCATACTAAATAGAGACTTTTGGCAAGCGGAATTTTTCCCATCTGTATCACGTATCCGTATCGTAAACGTAGTTTTCGAGTTTTGGTAGATTTTTGCCTCGCCTACGTATGCGTCGCTGAGCTGAGCTTAGTTCTATTATAGCATGATGACAGTGTCTAGCCTACAATTTCCAAGACGCTCGACCGTCGCCAAGCTCTTAAAAAAAATTTAGTTTCACTAATTAATCATTTCAGAAAGTTTATTCCCCTTTACCATAGAATAAAATCATTTACAGATTTGCAAGGTCCCACCCCACTGATCACGTAGATCAACCAGGAAAAGTAAGAAAATTCTGAGAAAAACCATAAAAAATAATGATTAAATTCCAGTCTTTATCATTGTTAAAATCACATCACTACACCTTCGTGTTCTAGGATACACATAGATTCATAAAAAATGCTATGATATAACATTTCAACGTCTAAAAGTAGCAAAAAAGACGATAAAAAAACCACAATATTATACGGAACTTTTCCGTATGAAAGCTGTTCGATACGTGCTGACGTATCCGTGTGCCGTATCACGTATGAGAAATACACACACATTGATGACGTCACATGCACAACGCATACGCGATGCGGACCAGGAATTTACGCTTGCCAAAAGTCTCTAATGACGTATGGCTGTTTTCCTGTGCCCCGTTGGTGTAGAGAAGTAGGGCGTTATATCCCATTTCCTTTCATGTCTATACCTATATAGTTTTATCCTTTCATCAAATGTTGATATTGTAATTTATTCAAACACCTGTGAGTTTTATTACGATTTTACTGCTTGGGTTTTGTTTCTTAATGCCCTACAATACATCCAGATCTTGGAAGACACCTGTATTCTCTTTACATGTGCAGTGTAGTGAATTCATTATTAACTCAAATGTTAATGTCAAAATTAAATACCATCTGAACATGTTAAAACGAGTGATATGAATAAAATAGCATATAAAAGCGTCAAACATATGAACACAGTGTCATTATATGTGATCGATTAATAAATAACATATAAATATGAAATAATTAAATAATCTGAATCCGTACCGTATTCATGTATACTTCATAATTCTGTAGATTATGAAGCTGGTGTGACTAATATACAAAAAAATATACAATGGTTTGCTTAATTGGCAAATATGTATAGTGTCAATGGTTGTCGTGCAACAGACAGTGTGCGTCACTCCAGAGTCTTTCATCGATTTGGCAACCGATTTTATACTAAATTATATCAATATTAAATTATAAGTGTTACGGTCTGTATGTAACGTAATCCCGTCTGTTATTTCTTAGATACATTCGAATAGGTTAATACATTCAACGAATTGTATATCAATATTAAGATATTTATCCTAGAGGTCTATCGATATTTTCTTATATAGTTTAATATTACGTTCTGTATGTAACATAAGACCCCCTATTATTTCTTATCATATGAATTCATCTCTCAAATCGCTTTAATACATTCAAAATCCCATGTTTGCTTAATCGTCCATTTCCCGTAATCCATTCCTTTCATTCAATCAATCTTGTTATTGACGTGTTTCACTACAGATGGTTCATCAAACCCCATATCCTATGGTTCAATATTAAACTGACCAGCATGTCTGACCACTCTATTCTTAATAACAATCACTTCATTTGACATGATGGCCACTGTGTTAGTGATCACCCTATTTTATTAGGTCTGTCGGTCATTATAGCTCCCTTACATTTACATATTGTGGCTTAGAATGTTGATTATCACTATGGGTAGAATTACCATTCAGAGTGATTCTCCGTAACAATCAATGGCGGTAATGGACAGCAATATAAAGATAATGAATACCATGAACTGAATGGGAATTTAGTGTTCCCCGTCATAATACGGTTTAATCTGGCATAAACTGTTGTTTCTGTAGATATGAACAAACGTCAGGATTTCGCGACATGCTATTAATGAGATGAAATGAAATGGGGTTTAACGTCCTACTTTTCTGCACTAACCGGGATATTAAGAACGTTATTGTGTGGATTATGAAGAATTGTTTGAGTATGCCGTAGCGCCGTTGTCTAGGCGTGAACCTATTTTCCTTAGCCCTCTTGGTGAGAAAAGCAAGACATTATACCCAATTTCATTTCCTTTTCACGGATTGAAAGATATCGTGTTGTATTAAAGTTGAATAAATAAATGTCAAGCAGAATCTTCTATTCTGTCCATTGTCGATTAATCCACCTATCCGAGCATCCGTCCATTTTAACAAGTTGAACAGGAAAACGTTTCTTAGTTGGATAGCCCATCTAGCAAACACTGTTATAAGTAAATCATACCAAGTTTGTTAATAATAACCATTTTCTATGGTGCTTAAAGCCGCTGGTCGTTATTTACATCGTCAACTCGACACAAAACTACTGAATGGACCATCATCAATTTTAAACTGATTTCTTCGATTATGAACAAACTGCTTAAAGTAGCCAAGCATTTAACTTAATATCATCCACAGTCTTCGACATTGCAAACACGATTTATTGGTCAGTTTAAATCAACATTGATGTTTTTATCTTACCGTGAAAAGATGGGCTTCTGATATCCAGTATTGAACACAAAATGACAATTTTACAATTGGGACTCGAATCGCGTGCCAGAATGATTTCGAGCGCCATTTGCAATGGAGCGACTCGATGAATGAGGCAAAACATATCCCTGAAGAAAATGCTATCGGTGTAGACTGTAATAACCAGACCCCAAAGACCGCCATTCAGTTCGAACTCTTCGCGTATTTCGCCGAACATAAGGGATTAGAACAGTAAAAACAGAAACGATTGAATGTAAATCAGTTTATATACATTCATATTGAATTATTATATGTGATGTGACCCATTTGTGTCCATTTCTAGGTGTCAAAGAATAGAGAATTAGCTCCTTTAATTATGTGTTTGAAATCGCGTAATTACCACAAAACATATTTAATTCACGTACGGGCCTGTAAGTTCATGTCAATAATATTCGCAAATAAAGTTTTTGTTCATTCGACAGAAATCCAAGCAGTCCAGGATGTCTAAACATCTTTGATCGTCTTTATAAACATGTATTTTAATCAAATTATTCTAATTGTGTTACGGAGACGCACGATTTTAAAATTCTTAACATTTCTTGCACACCGGAAATATAGGAAGAAAAATGATAGGAAATGAAACTATCTGTCATTAATTAAACCGAAAGCCGCGCGGTGTACGAATTGCTTATATTTTTGGGTAATTAGCGATGAATGAATTATATATAAAAAATAGTACGACTCCGAATGATGGCCTCGGTTAAAATGTAAAATACATCTGCAGTTACCTCGGCTACAGCAGAATGTCGAGATTAATTGACAGGATGGCTTTAGGTCATCAAGAAATATTAAAGATATTCAAACACTCATAAGCTTTTAATAACCAAAATTAAGAAGTTTGTTCACAATCGAAAAAATCCCTTTAAAAGTTATGACGGTTTAGACATTAGATCATTTCTAGAATAACATGTCGAAAAAGGACAGGTTACCCTACTCGTTGTCACATACAAACTTTGGGTCAAAACCACACTACTTAAATCAATGACGTAAAGCACACATGTTATTT